AGCACCTATGGAAAAAACGGGACAGGATGCCATCAAAAACAGTGCCTCTGAGAGCACCAAGTTGGACATTCAACTTCTAGTAATGTTCCTGCGTGCTGGTCGATTGAAAGGCATCCCTGCCTGTCACAGGGGGGTGGAACTGGATGGGCTTTAAGGTCCCTTCCAACCCAAACCAGACTGTGACTGTGTGTGGTATTCATTTTTTACTTACTTTCGCTTGCTTTCCTTCCATAACTGCCACGCAGGAGTTGGTTGTGCCCAAATCAATTCCAATAACAGCACCTTTAACTGCTTCTGAGCTGCAGAGCGAATAATTGGAAAAATAAATTACTACTAAAGGAAAATAACTACATAACAAAAAACCTTCTAACCTGAGACAGGACAAACACAACTTTTGCTGTTCAAACTTGTCTGGAAACATTCACCTGGAGTCAAAATGCTAATAAGAAATTGTATTGGTTTATTTATCACTGCTTAGCACAAACAGAAGATTAAACAAAGGTAACAAATTACTCAACCTATGCAGGGTTCTCTGGGGCAGAGCCGAAGATAACCATCTATTTGATCCTGAGGAGCAACAGATTCAATCTGGAGAATGAGAGTGGTTCTTACACAAGGCAGATTTGAACCTTCTCCTCCTACTGCTTTCTAGGAAGGGTTATTGCTCCTTCAAGGCCAGAAAGAACTCCTGAATAACACGTTTGCCTTATAAATAACCCACGCTCTGGGATGGAGAAAGCATACCGAAGACAGAGCAGAACCACATATATTACCAGGATATCATTTCTCACTCCCCAAGATCTTAAGTCAGTCCCTAACTCCAGTTCCTAAAGCTCCAGTAACCTAAAGCAGTGATTTAGTTTCTCTGTGCTAACTAGACCTGGGCAGTTTCCCTAACACAAACAGATCTCCCATTCCATGTTCTGAATCAGCACCAGCCACAAAACATCTGACCAAGTTACACAACTGCTGCTCTTTTCACGCTATCTTGCAACAAGTACAACAAGGGACTAAAATCTGTTTGAAACGAACTTTATCTGTAGTGAAACAGGGCCACACATCGCTCTTGTTTCATGCCAGTGTTAAATAGTTTGCTCTATCAATGTCTGGGGTAGTTTTTTTTTGTTTTTCTGAGTCATGGAAGGCTTTTCTGTTTGGCTGCTTGGTTATTACATAGAAAAAAAAAATCCCCTCAAGATTCCACATTTTGTGGCTGCTGGTGGTGTGAGAAGAGGGAAAACACTTCTTAAACTTCTCCTTGGAGAAACAAGACAAAGAAAACTTATAAAAAGTTATCTCTATAGCATCTAGTTTTATCTTGCTGGATTTGCTCTGTAATCCACCTCCGACTCCAACAATCACTTCTGGTATCTGAGAGAGAGCAAACACAAACATCAACCAACCAAACATGAAAAAGCAAGGAAATACTTACGCATATTTTCTGCTGGATGCTGCTCTGAGAACATTTTGACTGAGGCCGTTCCAGAAAGTCTATAAAATAAAGATGCTCCAATGAAAACTTAGTTTTAAACACTCAGCGATCTTCAAGCCAAGACCTTCAAAAGTTGACAACTTCTGAAGCAACACGGTCCTACTGCAATGTTTTATTTTGTAAGAACAAAGCAAGGAAGAATTTGGGATTCAGACTGCCATAAAAAGAGCAACTACTGCACTTACTCATTGTATTATCGGAGCCATTTCCCTCACACCAAATAGCCCAGGAACATGCTACCAGTCAAAAAACGGTTCAGTGAATTAACATTGAACCTTCGGCTCTCAATGAAGAGCAGCAGGTAAACATTAACCCCACTTCCCAAAGCCTTACGCGTGGTCAGCAACAAATGATCCCCTAGATCCCGACGAACCCGCAGCCGAGACTTTGAAGAAAAAAAGTTTCTCTTCGCAGTAATTTCGCACACACAAATCAATACCCTGCAGACTCTGAAAGCGCCGCCCCTTCTCCTGCTTTCAGAACGGACTTTTAACGACCTTACCAGGGCCAGGCCCGCCCCGGGACATGGCTGTTTCGTTAATTCTTCGAGCTGCTCGGCCTGGCCGCGCTCCCCGGGCTGGGAAGGCTGCAGGGCCCAGGCAGCGCCGTACCCAATGCCGCGGCCTGCTCTGCGCCGCACCGAGCGGCAGGGCCGGGTGGATTGTCCTTCCCGGCCTCTCCCTGCGCTGCCCCCGCACACATGAGGTGAGGAGCTCAGCGATCTCACTACAAACCTCCCCGAGAGCAGACCCAGGCCCGAGACCGCGCTCCCGGGCCGCCGTCCCCTCCTCACTACCGCCGCTACGCCATTAAGGGCTCACTCCGTAACACATGCACCGTACCGGAGACGGCCCAACAAGGCAGGGCTCTGGACCGAGGCCTAGCCCCGTCCCCGCCGCGCCGGGACTTGCCCGCTGGCTGCGCCGTCCCCACCGCCCGCTCCCCCTGTACCCCACAGCCCCTCCGGGCCTCCTCTGCTCCCCACACCCCACCCCAGGCCTCCCCGGTCGCTCACCTGCGCCACGCTGGGAGCGGCGGGAGCGGGGCCGCCCCGCGGCAGGAGCAGCGGGAGGCGGGCGGCGGCGCGGCTGGCACTGAGCATGGCGGCAGCGGGACCGGGACCGGGGCGGGCTGCGAGCGGGGCCGCGGCTCTTCTGGAATCCTCCACCCACGTGGGCCGCGGGGGGGGAATAGCGCGCCGCAGGACCCCCGGCGCGGGCTGTCCCGCTGATCGCCTGACCCGCCCGCTCGCTGTCGGCGCTCCGCTCGGATACCAGCACCCGGGCCGCGGCTGCGTGATGCCTCTCTGAGGCTGTGCGAGAGCTCGCTGCCTCGGGGGGGTGCGACAGGGAGACACGCGAGCGCTCCGAGGCGCCGCTGCGCACCGGCACGCCGGCGGGCAGCCCCAGTCCCGCGCGCGGCCTCGTACTCAAGGTCGGACAGGATAAAACGCAGGGCGATTGCAGCGGCCTTGCGTCAGGGCGCGTGGCGCGCATGCGCAGCTCGGTCCGGTTCCTCGCATGCGCGGTCTGCGCTACCGCTGGTGCGGCTGCGCCGGATGAGCCCCGCGCGGGCTCGGGCTTGGGCTTCCCCTGCGGCGGGGTGGGCGCCGGGGCCCGGTCAGCTCCGCGCCTCGGGGCCCAGCCCTGTGGAGCCCCGCGCTGGTGCTGACCAAGGGGTGCTCGGACGCGCCCCCTGCCCCACAAAGGGCTGCCCTTGTCGGCGCAGGGGCGCCCTCACCCACCCCGGCTCTCCAGAGGAGACCGCAAGGGCCGGAGCTGCGCTCCCCGGCGGCACTGCGGGTTTGGGGTGGGAAGGGAAGGGACGGGGTGGCTCCGTGTGCTGGTTGCTGCCAGGGCTGGTTTCCTGCCGCCCAAACCAGCGCGGGGGCACAGTAAGTAGCAGCCATGCGGCTGTGTCAGGAGTAGCGCGCACACGCGCCACAGCTGTTTAGGTCACAGTTACTGTATGGCTCCAAAAAGCCTGGCTTCACAGAATGCTGGAACGGTTTGTGTTGGAAGGGACCTTAAAGCCCGTCCAGTCCCAACCCCTGCCACAGGCAGGGACCCCTTCCACTAGAGCAGCTTGCTCCAAGCCCCTGTGTCCAACCTGCCCTTGAGCACTGCCAGGGATGGGGCAGCCACAGCTTCTCTGGGCACCCTGTGCCAGCGCCTCAGCACCCTCACAGGGAAGAGCTTCTGCCTAAGAGCTCATCTCAGTCTCCCCTCTGGCAGGTTAAAGCCATTCCCCTTGTCCAAAGCCCCTCTCCAGGTTTCCTGTAGCCCCTTTAGGCACTGGAGCTGCTCTGAGGTCTCCCTTTCAGGAGCCTTCTCTTGTCCAGGCTGACCCAGCCCAGCTCTCTCAGCCTGGCTCCAGAGCAGAGCTGCTCCAGCCCTCGCAGCATCTCCATGGCCTCCTCTGGACTCACTCCAACAGCTCCACGTCCCTCTTGTGCTGTTGCCCCAGAGCTGGATCAGGACTGCAGGGGAGATCTCAGGTGAGCTCCATCCTTCAGGCATCTTTGCTTATGCAAAGAGTGAGTCCCGGGATGGGCCAGCTCAGATCCAGCAGGGCAGGAGGGTTTGTGCAAGTGTCACCCTCTCCCGTCACCAGGAAGGGGCAGCAGCCAGCCGTGCTAGCGCGGCTTTTCAGGCTGCTCCTGTGAATCGTGAGCCCGGCAGAATGACAGCTTAATTCACATCGCTGACAACTCCCAACTGTTGGCAGGGCTGCAATTAAAACACGAACGCGCTCAGAAGCGGCTCTGGGGGCTCTGCCTGCGCCACTCCCCCCTGCCCTCCTTTCATCTCCGAGGCCAGAGGGGCTGGCGGTTCCCTCCGGCAGCAAAGCAGCCCTTCACAGCTACTGGTAAAGCAACGGGCAAATGCTTCAGCAGTCTCTGCAGAGGTGGCAAAACGAGACGGAGGGAATCCTCCTGCTCTAAGGTCACAAAATCCCTCCCCTGGCTGCTGTAAGGATACAGGTACGACCTGCAGCAGCCTTGGGAACAGCACCCTGGGTCTGGCTCACTCTAGGTGTCAGTGCCTGTGTATCTGCCATCCAGGCACAGCAAACTGCGGTAGCAAGAGCCCTCCAAATGCCCCATGAAAGGCCAGGTTCAGTCTCCACTCCTCAAATGCGAGGCACTCTCCTGCTCACGAAGAGCCACAGCTTTGGGCCTCAAATTTCCTTTGGTTGTTGCCCTCAGCTGCACCACTTCCAATGTCCTTTGCATCTTCTGCTCTTCCCATTCCTCCCACACACATGGATCCCCTCAGATGGGTTCCCCTCTGCTCCCAAAATTGTGCTACACAGCCAGTAGTGCTGGCTAAATACATGGCCATACCCCTTTGTGTGCAGGCAACAGGCTGACACACAGGGCACCCCTTGCAAGAGATCAAGAGCTTCCAGCTTGCTGGCTTTGGGTGACCCAGAGGATGCTCTGCATCCTCTGCCCTTGCACTTGCCTGCCCTTGAGCCTTCCTAGGGAAAGGGAAGAACTGGGAGAGCTGGCAGGGCAAGGCAATAGGATTCCTCTGGGACCACCTCCAGTGAGGACCAGGCACTGGCTGCCCGCAGCACAGTGCCACAGAAACAGTGTGAAGGAGCTGCCCTGTGGGGACCCAATTAATTTCCTTCCTGTTAATTGTTGCCAGACATGAAGCTGCTTTGAAGCACCGCAGAGGCTGGTATCACAGTGGGGCAGCCCTTTGGCAGCTGCGAACACAGCTCCATGTGGATGTCCTGCCCTTGCTCCCACAGGGATTAGCAGTGGAGCAGTTGCTTGACTCCTGTAGGAGCAGAGCGGAGCTGTAACTCTTTTCCTACAAGCCTCAAGCCACTTGGCTGCATTTGTCAGCTCTGTAGGCATGTGTCTCAGAAGGATGTCACTGTAAACGGAGGATACATACACTTTTCAGTGGAAGGAGCGTGTTGCAGGCATCTCCCAATGCTGCCAGCAGCAGGACAAGGCCTGTGGGGAGCTCTGTGTTAGCTTCTCCACCTTTGGTATTTCCCACCAGCAGGGATTGCAGGGCAGCTCCTTCTCTGGCTCCTCAGTGCACTGGAGTTACCCTGAGTGCTGATGGCATGACTTCAGGTGGGCCGGTGTGAAAAGGCTCGTCGAGGCAGCTGCAAAACAGCTGCACTTCAGTGGCTTTCCTGCTCACTGAAACGGAGCCTAATATAAAACGCAGTGATGGATCAAACACAGCGTGGCATCAGCCTGCACCCTGAGTCAGCGTGAGTCACAGACCGTGTCCCACCACGCTCCGTGCGCAGGAGGAGAAAGTCCTATTTGAATTCAGAGTTACTGCCAAACGCTTAGGGAAGGGCTGGCAGGGGAAAGGTGGGCTGCTGCATACAGGAGCCGTGAGGAGAGGGCAGCAGGGCACAAATGAGCCATCCCTTTTGCAGGGGTGGAAGGGATCCAGGTGTCTGACTTGCGTGTTTAATGGTTCATACACACCGGTGTTGTAATGAACCACCAGCCAGATGCTTTCCTAGGTAATCATCATGGGGGAATTGCAGCAGGAACGTGAGGGTTTGGGGTGGGCATTCGGTACAGAGCTGGTCAACACCCAGCATCCTTCCAGGCTTCCCTGGTTTCACTCCTGTGTTTCCAGTGGGGCTGGCAGCAAGCATCAGCCTGGAGACCATCACAAGATAAACCAGAAAAGCCACACAAAGCAGCAATGAGGCAGTTGTGAAGGCTGCCTGTGAGTGTGCAGGCAGCTCAGACCTTCCTGCATGCATGTGGCACAGAGCTGTCACTCAGCCGAGGATGCAGGCGACTGCAGGGAGCAGCAAACCACATCTCACCCCTACATGGTTGCAGCTGCTGTATTATGGATCTGAGGTCCCTCCAGGAACTATAATAATGAGGGGAGTTAGTGTGTTACAAATTAAAACTCCCAAAGGCTATTCTCTGCAGAATTCTTTCAACCCTGATCTGAAGTGGCTAAGGTACAAAGAGAGGCTGGTTTGGGGAAGGATGCTGTGGCTCCGAGGGCTGGTTTCAGCCCTGCCAAGAGGAGAGGCTGGTTTGAAGGTCACCCATAGCCAAGCTGCGCCGTGGTGGGAAGGCTGACAGGGCTCAGCTCAGAGGGAAAGCCCCTGCAGACCGCTCTGTTCACACTGTATTTGCACAAGACTCCCCTCTGCCCTTTGCTGAGCAAGGCTGGATTCGTCCTCTCCCACTGGCTCGTGGTAGGGTTTTCCAGCACACACCACTCCTTTGCTCTGGTCTGGGGTCTTGGAATAGGCTCATATGCTCTCCAACATGCCCTCCATCATCCCAGCATGAGACCCAAAGGTTTCTGCTTCCCTAACTTCTCCCTTATTAATGGCTTTGGACAGATCACTCCCCTGCGACACACATGCCTCTGCTGGCATGAATCTCTTCCTTGCCGCTACCTCCGGTCCTCCCCTGGCTCTTTGTGCCCTCTCTGGTATTTGCAGAGTCACCGAATTTACAGTAGTGGGAACTCGGAGTGCTCTGTGCTCCCTCCAGACCATCACGCGGGTGTGTTACCACACTGTCCCCTCTGAGCCGGTTCCTTGTTGCCTGCTGTTCTCTTACCCATGCTAGTTTAACTTGCTGTCTGGATTCCTGTCCCCCAGCTGAGAATCATCACTTCCCATTCCTGATGCAGCTCAGGGGATGCAAAACTCTCCAGCCAGCACACACGTCCTGAGGCAGCATCTTTGTCTTTTGAGAAAGAATACAGCTTTTTATTCTGAAAACAATATAAATCACTCCACTGATACGTACTTGCTATTTCCTTTGTTATTTCCTCAGTACATGTCCTCTCCTTTGTAAACTACAATGCCGTGAACCTTGTGCAGCTCCTCTGTGCAAACCCACTTTGCTTTGTGCCGACTGAATACAGACCCAGGAGAGAAAGACTTCCCTGCCTGTTAGGGCCCGTGCCAGGAAGCTCCTGTTGGATCAGCTGCTGCCAACACACCCGGACCAGGTAGAGCCTGCAGTTTATTTAATACATCCAGTTACAATAATTTCAATTTAAAATCAGCCTCACAAGACAAAAGGGCAACATTTGGAGGAGAAAAATCCCTGATTTATGCTTCGAAAGAAGAAATGCTCCTTCTCTGCTGCCTTGGCAATAAGACAATGAGGGAGGAAAACATAAAATCGTTCACATTCCTGACTCCATCCTTTGCCAGTAGCACCAACATATATCTTCGAGAGCTTCAGTGCAGGTTTTTACTGCAGAAAATAAACAGCAAATTGTGTCCCCCCAAGCAGCAGAACACATCCTGACTGCATCCAGCCCCAGTGCCTCCCCTTCTGCTCAGCCCAGGCTCCCCATAATGCCAGGGTACAACATGGGCACAAACCAACCCCTTCATTGCTGAAGGAGGACACTATCCAAGATCTCCATGTCTTGATCTCCGTGAGCTCCCACAGCCCCACTTATCTGAGGGGACCTGGGCTGCTGAGGGCTCTCTGCCCCTTTGCCTTTTGCCAGGGTGGCATTCCCCAGCTCATTTCCTGAGGCCAATTCCTGCACAGACAACTGCAGCACAGCCTGGGCACAAGCAGACAGGCTGGGCATGGGGGCAGCTTAAATTGATTTAAATAGCACTGCAGCCAATTACAAACCCAAAGTCTCTGCACATGTTTTTCTCCTGCAGGAGAAGCCAACCCCCCTGGGTGTAATTAGCAACATGCTGCACAGCTGAAGGGCCAGCTCAGATGACTGCGCTCCAAACTGCTGCTCACAGGTCACATCCCTTCCTTCAAAAGGAGATGGCCCTGGCAAGGACGCAGGGAAGGATCCGATGTACCCACATGTGGCTGCCCTACTGCATAGTAGGAGGTTTGGAGGGAGCCCCATGTCCTGTCTGTGGGCCAGCATCCAGATCCAGGAGCTGCCTGAGGTTGGTTGGGCAAGTGAGCATCACACCTTGGTCCCAGCAGTGATGTCCCCGTGCTGATGTCCCCGTCCCTGCTGCAGCAGCTGTTCCACAGACACACATCCCTGGGGTGTGGGACAGCACAGACACATCCCTGGGGTGTGGGACAGCACAGACATCTCTGTCCAGGCTGTGGGAGCCCTGCCCAAACCATGGCAGCAAAGGAGGGGATGTCCACATCCTCCAGTGCCCTGGACATGCAGGAGAAACCTGGGACTGGGATTTTGCCTGCTCTCAGCAGTAGTCAGAGGGCTCCAGGGCCCTCCAGCAGCCCCCTGACAGCACTACCTATCAAACTGTATCAGCATCTGCTCTCTGGGTGCTTCCTTTGTGAGCAAATGAGGAAACACAAACCACAGTTCACTCATTCTCATGTGGTAGATCAGGGGTAAATTCTGCCCTGGGGCATTTTCTCCATGGATCATGGCACTTGTTTTTCAGTCCCTCAGCCCTGCCTGTTTTCAAGCCTTTCAAATGCTATCCTGACCCAAAACCACCTGTACCGTGGGGTCGTGTGCTTTCTGCTTCGGTCCTTTCTGGGGTACATGAACTCCCCACCTATCCTCATGCCACACTTTGGTCTCTTTGAGGCCAAAACTCTCCACTCCTTGAAGCCAGGAGCTTGTGTCCTTGAGTGAGAAAGATCAGCAAAGGACAGAGTAGGGAAAAATACGAGCAATGAGCTCAACAGCGAGTGTGTTATTTCCGTGGAGGCATCTCAGATGCTTCCTATCCCTGTGTTTGTTGGAGGGAGAGCATCATTTAGCACAGTAATTCAAATGACCTCCACAATTCATCTTTGCAAGGCTTTTTTTTTCCCTCTTTTCCTTCCAAAAAGCAGGCAATTTTAGCCACAACATCATTCTGGGGGGGAAGGGAGAGGGATGTGGGCAGTTTTGAAGATACCCAACTCAAAGACCTAGTTATTCTCCCTATTTTTTCCTCACCAACTTCAGCAGCAAGAACACATAAATCGTGTGTCATAGCTGCCTTTTCATCTGTCCCAGGAGTTATAGACTGCACACATAAGACAATTCATGTTCCTCTGCATAATGAGGTGAGTTTTATAAATCATAAATCTTCACTTAATATGCAGGTGGTGTTTGCTGCCAGGTTTAGGAAAACTGATGCAGTTGCCAAGTTCATGAATGTCATAAATCATTCATGCTAAGGTAGTCTGCAATTGCTCAGTCCTTTGAGACAGACCAATTTCAAGGTGGTTGTTTAACACACAAACACGATCTCCGTTGATTGTTTATACAAATATATATTTTCATTAAGATTTTCCCTCTCCTTTTTTTTTCCTTCTTTAGGTGCCAAGAGTGATGCCCTGAAGGGTCCCTGCTGGTGGCTTCTTTCCAGTTCCAAAATTCCATCAGAAATCCATTACCCAATGCATAAAAATCCATGGATTTGTAATAGAAAGAGCCTCCTAAAGCTCAGAAAATACAGCCTGGATGTCTCCATAAATCCTGATGCATGTGATTAAAAAGCCTGATGGAGGGAGCATGCCTCAGTTCTTCACAGGGTCATTCTGGACACATGGTGTGTTCTGCAGAATTGCCATCAATTAAAGGTGTGCTGACCCCAGCAGGGTTTTCATCCCTGCTTGAACAGGAGCTGCTGTGTGCACAAGAGCAGGTAATGCACCCCCCCCATGTGGAATACCCTGTGTGCTTCTGGATTTAGCTTAGCCTACACACAGCAGCGCTTGGTGGGTGCTCTGCAGCCCCCTGGGATGTGCAAGATTCAGTGGGAAGTCTCATGGGAAAGCAGTTCTTAGAGCTGTGTAAATCCAGCAAGTACCTGGAAAGAGATTTCTCCAGTGCCCATCCCGAGGGGCTGAGCATGGACAAACCTCCTCAGGGCTTCAGGGAGCTTCAGCTCAATTCTGATGGGAGATGCTCCTTCCTGGCATCACATCTCACAACCCCAAACATCCCCAGGGGCTCTCAGCTCATAGTCTTTGTGCTCATAGTATTTGTGCCTCATCTTCCTCTCCCACCATCTGCTTTGCATTTTGCTTTCTGGTTTCCTATGACACCATTAGTTCTAGGCTGGTCTTGCATGATGAAAGCTCTGTCCCGTCTTCAAGTGTTCAGCATCATCTAGGGAGAGCTGTCACCATCCTGAAGAAGCGGGACCTTGGACCATCAAACCTGTCAATTCCCACCTGGTTCACATGCTGGAGAGATGCAAGAAAATGAGGCACAGAACCACTGGACAGGGTAGTAAATCAAAGCCTGTTTAGGCTCAGAGGCAGGCGGCACTTGCGAGGGTTTGGTTTTGAACACCACATTAATTTTGAGTGGATCTAAGAAAGCTGTGTAGGTGGAACAAGGCAGGAAATTTTGACTGCTGTTCCTGTCCTCCGTCATCCTTTTCTGGCATAATTAATTCATCACAAATAATTCAAGGCACCAGGTTCTCTCTCTTCTTTTTCCCAACAAGGACTGAAGTTTCTTGTGTTTATTCCCTGTGCCAAGCTACTCACTTTTGCTAACTCCCCAGCATCTTGTATGCATGTGCCACCTGGAAGCTGAGAGCAGACTGGTTAGTCTTGGTCAGCTGTGAAGGTCTCCTCCTTTGATTTAAGGAGCATTAAACCTAGAAAAGGCTTTTGGGGAAAAGATGACTTAAAATGGGACTTGCCACAAATCCAGCACTAGATTTGGCTCCCAGCCTGCCCTGTGATTTCAGTGCTAGTCTTCACAGCCCTCTGCTGATCTCATGGCTCTCAGTATAGGATCAGATTGGCAAAACATCCTGATTTTATCAATGCTCCTGCCTACAGAGCAGTCCCTAAGGTATTAATGAAAACTCAGCCCTGGGTATAGGTGCTGCCAAAGGGAGCTCCCCCTCCATTTCAGCTCCATGGTTTCCACCTGCTCCCTGTGAGGTGGACCTCCAGAGAAGCATCTTCATAATGAGAATGGCAGCTGACTCTTCCCACTAAGTTGGAGCCAAGATGAAAACCAGGTGAATCTCAAGAGCTACAGGACCTTCATGGCTGCAATTCCCTCCTCTGGGAGTATTTATGTTCTGGAGACCTACTAAGCTGGGGTTGAGCCATACCTTGCGCTTCTCCAGGTGCTTTCCAGTAGTGAGCCTGTGCTGGCTTTGTGCTCTGTGCATGAGAGAGGACAGGGATGGGGTAGTGCAGAGAGTTCATCCAAAAAAAAAGAAAATAAAATGTTAATTTTTCTGGAAAGAGCTCAGCAAAATCCATCAATGGCAAAATACTGAATTATCCGAGCTATTCCCACTCTGTTTGCAAAGGGAAGGAGCTTTGTGGATGGATTCCCTAAGGAGAGAAAGGGATTCAAACCTGACTTTAATTGTTCCTCCAGGTTATAAATTAGGGAGATGTGGAAGATGTTTCAGTGCAAAATGCTGCTGATGGCTCCATTTGCTCACTTGGGGTGAGCCCCCTGTGACAGGATGGTGGCAATAAAAAATCACAGCTTGAATGATAAAAGAGGAAAGAGGGGAAAGAGGGGAAGAAAGTCAAATGAAAATAGGGAAGAGAAAAACTGCAGGGCTGTATCAGTCAGCGGTCCTGCTCCCTTGGACCTCTGCCCCTTCAGCATCTGGGCAGGTACGGCAAGCTGGCTGGGGCTGCCATGCCAATATTGCATGATATTAATAAGAGACACGATTTCTCCTCCACATTTTGAGTTAAATAGAATCCCAGCCTGGTTTGTGTGGGAAAGGACCTTAAAGCTCAGCGAGTTCCAACCCCTGCCACAGGCACGGACACCTTCCACTAGAGCAGCTTGCTCCAAGCCCCTATGTCCAACCTGCCCTTGAGCACTGCCAGGGATGGGGCAGCCACAGCTTCTCTGGGCACCCTGTGCCAGCGCCTCAGCACCCTCACAGGGAAGAGCTTCTGCCTAAGAGCTCATCTCAGTCTCCCCTCTGGCAGGTTAAAGCCATTCCCCTTGGCCTGTCCCTACAGGCCCTTGTCCAAAGCCCCTCTCCAGGTTTCCTGCAGCCCCTTCAGGCACTGGAGCTGCTCTGAGGTCTCCCCTTCAGGAGCCTTCTCTTGTCCAGGCTGACCCAGCCCAGCTCTCTCAGCCTGGCTCCAGAGCAGAGCTGCTCCAGCCCTCGCAGCATCTCCATGGCCTCCTCTGGACTCACTCCAAGTGCTCCACATCCCTCTTGTGCTGTTGCCCCAGAGCTGGATCAGGACTGCAGGGGTGGTCTGGTTTATATAGAGACCAGAGTGTATCTATATAAGTATATAGTATATATATAAAAAGGGGAAGGTCCTGTGGAGTCACACACACTCAGCAGGGTAAATGGGGTTTCTCTGTATGCTATCTGAGCTGGGCACCACTGCACCCAGAACCAGAGTGCCTGCCAGTGGATGGAAGTGCTGGGTCCCAGGAAGAGCAGGCTGCAATGGGGAGCCAGAAGCCACCACGCAGCAGTGATTTCTCCCTTCCCTCTCATTCCTTTTGTACATGTCCTACTTCTTCAAAGCCCCTGACCTCCTCAGCTAGCTTTTCTCCCCCCTTTCGTTTCTCCCAAAAGTGTGACATTCTCACCATCTGTAAAACTGCCAAACAAGACTCGCCTTTGCATTTCCCTGCAGGGCTGCTCTTCAATTAAAAGCTTTTCTTGATGCTCTGACTTTCACATCTCTTAATTGAGGTTCCTTTCTCCAGCCTCTTCCCCCTTTTTAATGAGAGGCTAACACGCCAGTTAATGGAGCTTTGCAAAGGGCAGCACCAGTGACCACACGGTGTGGAACCCCAGAGCGTATTTGAATGGCAGAGACTGCCCAAGCTGGGCTGCTCAGGGCCTGGCCAAGTGTCCTGGAGCAGGGGAGCAAAAGCCACTGGAAAAATACAGGATCCAGGTCATGTTCTAAAATGATCCTGCCCTTGCTCCCAGGCTCCATCAGTCAGCACTTCAGCAGCCGACGGTACAGCGATGCTTCCCCTCTCCCTGTTACAAATGCAGGGCAGGGACCCAAGCGATGCAACTGAGGTTTGCTGCTTCAGCAGCCCCAGCATCATGCCTGGCACCCAATTCTCCCTTCCTGGAACACCACTGCAGCACTACTGCCCCCCAGCACTGTAAAGGCATGAGCCGAGTTAAACGTAGTGAGAAAGATAAGTAAGGCTGCATGTGCTCTTTAACTTGCCTACTAATTTCTGGACAGGTAAGCTTCTCCCCTGCCAAGCCTTTCATCGCAAGAAAAAGAGGGTTAGAAACACTTCATAAAAACATATTGAGCACTTCACAAATTTGCAAGTGTGTTTTGTGCAGGGGTGGGGATGATTGCCGTGCACTACTCGTTTCGAAAGGATGTAGTATGTGTGCAAGCAAAGCAAGCGCACACCTTTGTTTTCCATCCAGCCTTGGGTGAGTTCAGAAGGCCCTGAAGAGGACACTCAGGTGTTTTTAAAAGCTGCTCATTTGTGAAAATAAATCTTCTAAAATAATGAATTGGAAGCTTTCATGGGAATGAACTGCAGGGCGCTGTGAACCAGCACATGGAGTATAGCAGCTATCACCCGGGTTTGCAGATCACCTCCCTTCCTCTGCCCAGGTTCTTGCTGGTGGCCCTGGGTTCCTGGAGGTGCAGTGACCACACACTCTGGACTGGGAGGAATGGGAACTCATGGGTTTCATTGCAAAGAGTTTCCCCTGCACTGGTGCTGATCCTGCTATGGACATGCCCCTCATCTTGCTACAGAAGGTTCCCCCAGTGCCTCTCAGAGCTGCTGCACTCACTGAGCTGCCTAAGTCCAGATGTCCTTGAAATGCTGCTAGAGGAAGGGACAAATGCCTGCAGAATCACTCATCTCTTGCTGTCCCAACCGTTTTATTTCTTCTTTTATACAGGGCGCTTTGTAAATGCTGAAACCATCCTTGCCAACTCTCAAGCACCTGAAACACTGCGCTGAAATACTTCCTTGAGTTCGAGCGTAGATTTTACTTCTGGCCTTGGAACAGCTTAAGCTTTCCTGATGTTATGTGCTTGGTTGTCTTTCAAAATCATGAATTCACAGCACACAATCTCCTCGCACAGCCGTGGTGTGGGAATTGGGGGGGAGAGCAGGAGCTGGAGCAGAAGGGCCGCTCGGAGCCCGGCAAAGCCCTTCTTGGAGCCTCGCAGATGGGCGAGCAGACGCTCTCACAAGGGGAGAGCGGCGCGAGCTCTTGGATGAAAGCAAATGAAGTGAGGACAGCAGGGCTGGGGGAGAGCACAGGAGCAAGAGCCAGGAGCCGGGTTTCCCAGCCCAGAGGGTTGGAGTCTGCTTGGAAGGAGTGGGCACACGGTGCTCGGCTCTTGGGACCGCTGATGTGCCAATGCAAAGCCACGGGCAAGCCGGGATGGAGGATGCTCGTGGGCAGCACCTGGCTCACCCGCAGGCACAGTGACATAAACACACAGCTCAAGCTTGGGGATAAATTCTGGAGGAGCTCTCTGTGTGTTTTTGTAGATGATCGTTTTGATTAACAGAAAATCAGTTTTATAGGGGCTTTTAGGAGGACATTGCCAGCATGAATAAACAACGAGCACCCTTGCCTGGCTCCGAGGACAGGCTGGGAATTGGGCTGCAGGGAGAGAAAGCCCCAAAGGGCTCACTGTGTGCCCAGGACCACATGTTCACCATCCCCAGCTCCGTGGTGGCTCGAAGCTTGGCCAGCACCAGAGCCACTGGAAAA